GTCGAACGTCGGGGAGGCCCGGGTCACCGAGACGGGCTGCCCGTTCGGGCCCGCGGCCGAGATTCAGGTCTACCTCGACGCCGACGAGTCCACCGTGCGCTGGGTCGTCAACGGCGACGACTGCGTCCACATGCAGCGCCTGCCGCGGGGCCGGCTCTTCGCCTTCTGCGCGGCCGCCGCGCGGATCTCCCAGGTCGACATCCTCACCCACCGGAGCGTGAACTACATCTAGCCCGGCTTCTCGGGGGTTTACGGGCCCACGTGAGGGCGGGGATGGGGGGGGAGGGAAAGGCGCTCCTGTTCGGCATCCTTCACACGAAGGCGCGGCCGTTAGAATGATTTTGCTTTCCTTGGACTATCTCTATCTATCTATCTATCTATCTATAAATATATACAGCATGTATTGAGAAGTTGGGGGTCATTTTATTTATTGAAAAAACTACTGACAGAGATTTCTGCACCCGATTGATTAACGCGTGTTTCGCTTTGTGGCGAGTAATCCGCACGTTGACCTCGTTTTTGTTGTTGCTTATGTCCGTCGAAACTGCTGCTATGCAAAGATTTTTTCACCTCATTTTTTCCCATGTTTCGATAACCCTATTTGATCCCTCTACAGCGTTATATATTTACATCATAACTGTGTAGTGCAATAAATAATTCAGACCTAGTTGACTTTCTGTATTTGTATTCTATGACCATGATAAAATTATGAAAAATATGAAACGCATTCTGTTTCTTTTTCCCGATTTTCATTTTGGGGGGGTTTCATTCTATTCTATTTTTAATTCTGTCAGCAAAATTTTATCATGGAAGATATCGTACCCTTAAGATGAGGAGCGGCAAACCCCGAGTTCCATGTGGGAGTGGTTAATCTCGCGGTTTATGTAGAGTTTGTGAGGCGCATAAATTAAGATATCTCGGAGAAAGCACCCACTCCAATGACCGCGTCCCCCATATCACCATTTCGGATCGATTAACTGGTGTAAAATCATTCCGTCTGCGCATTCTTGGATGGTTTATCATCCTTTTTTCTTCGTTAATTGTTGGCCTTCTCTTATGCTGGCATTGAACATCACGCTTGGTGCCTTCACAAGGCGTTGGGCGCAACACCATCAGACCAAAACCCACGGGACGCCTTTGTCCACAATCCTCAATTCTGATCTGCGTCCGAACAACAACAAACCAGGAGTTCTTTCATCTTAGAACAAAGTTTCCTCTGAAATGCGTTTGATACCATTTGTCGGAACATGGTTGTAATCGGCCGAACTTCGCATCCTCGTTGAGGATTTGTTTGGATTACATGAAGTACTTCATTCTTTTTGATTTTAATTTTCGCTTGCGACGATTCAACATAACATGATGGTGAGGAAGCCATCATCCGCTATGGTCCAAGCCATCAGATAATGGTGATTTATCTTTTTTTATTTTTCATTTAGCGTGGGAGTTGGCGCCACGGTTTTCACACCGTCGCGATTTTCCCTCGTCCCCCTCCCTCCCCCCCTGGCAATGCAAAGGGCGGTTTCTACGGGGACCACCCGTGTCTTCTTTTTCTGTTGTATTCCCTTATGAGTGTACCTACCACACTAAACAACATTCCCCCTGTAATTTCTGTCATGGCCCGGACACACGCAGGGCGCGGTGTCCGTTGGCCTGCTGGGCTGTCCCCCGATGCTCCGTCTTCTCCCCCCTGAGGTTTATTTTGTGTTTTAGGACAAGTGCGGGCCGGCCTTCGACGCGGGAATGCGGCCCCGGGCGATAATCGACCTGACCCGGCCGGTCTACGACGGGATGCCCGTCTACGCGGGCGACCCCGGCGTCCGCATCGCGACGGTGCGGGAGCGCGCGCGGGACGGGTGGGAGCTGCGCGAGCTGACGTTGGGCTCCCACACCGGCACCCACGTCGACGCCCCGGTCCACCTCTGGGCCGGGGGCCAAACGCTGGACGAAATCCCCCTCGACCGCTTCTGCGGCCCGGCGGTGGTCGTCGCCGACGGCGCGGCGGATTACCCCGCGCGGATCGGGCTGCTTTTTAGGGGGCCGGTTGGGCTGGAAACGGTCCCGGGGATCCTCCGCGCCCGGCCGCCCTTCGTCGGCGGCCCGCTCGACGAGCCCGCGGAGCGCGCGCTTTTGGCGCAGGGGATTATTACGTACACGGACTTGGTGAATTTGGACCAACTCGTGGGCAAGGTCTTCACGTTTGTGGGGTTCCCGCTGAAAATCAGGGACGGGGATGGTTCACCGGTCCGGGCAGTGGCACTTGTGCACGATGGATAATTAAGCCCTCCACCCGAGCTTGGCTCGGGTGTTCTTTTAACCTCTGTGGGAATGGAGCGCTTGTGGATTGGTGGCTTTGTGCTTCCTGGTGTTATGCTGGTTTGATTTTCTCCTTATCTTTTTGATGGCGTGGTAGGTTGTTTAAGTGGCGATTCGTCCCCCAAAGGTCTCAATTGCATGTTTCGGCGGCTTCT